CGAAAACGTCTGGTGACATGTGGCTGTGCCCGCAGACCTGCTTGGTTATGCGCCTCATGCCGTCGAGCTCCTGGACCGTGAAACCGCTGACCTCGCCACCCCACTTCTTCATAGGCAGGATGGCCGTGTGCAAGATGCGGCGGGTCTGTCGATATGCCTTCCTTGCTCGGAAGGCCATATGCAATCTTTTCTTTGCTGCCTTCCACCTCTTGCCACGCACAGGTCCATGGTGGATGCTGCGCACGACGATGCCGTGCCGGCGGCGGCCAGCCCGAAAGTCAGCTCCAAGATGGCGCGCCGTCCCCTGGTGGCGGCGGGGGCGAGCCCTGCGCGGCGGCGCCCTGGGCGCTGCGCCGCGGCAGCAGAAGGCTCAGGCTTGGGCAGGCCCAAGCTCGCCAGCCTGCGCACTCCCTCCGTGGTGACCGCGTCGCTGTTGCCCAGGATGGTGCCCTTCGCGTCGGCAACCTGCATCTGGAGCTCGTCGTGCAGGGCGCTCTTGAGCCCGCGTGCCGCCTCCACTAAGAGGTCCACGCAGGCATCCGCATTGTCGGCGACGACCTCTTGGCTGATGTCGTCCACGTGGACAGCGATCCCGACCTGGGGGTACTCGGTGGCCTGGGCCCTCAGCTCGTCCACCAGGTATGCCTGTAGGGCATATGTGGCCGAGAAACACCCCGCGACGATGCCGTTCTCGGGGTGCAAGCTGTCACCCGCCAGGCCGTCCAGCATGAGGGTGCGCCTCCAGCGGAAGGCGCCGATGACCACGCGCAGCACATGCAGGGGGAACTGCTCGGCGCAGCCCAGGCGAACCAGAATCTTGTGCGAGACTTTCTCGAAGGCCTTGGCCAGGTCCCAGAGCAGGATGAGGAACGCCCTCTCCTCGCCAGTAGCATCTTCAGCCCTCACCGCCGCGCGCCATACACAGTCGGTGACCTTGCGCGATGTGCCCGCGTTGAAGATCCCCTTCTCGTCCAGTGTTTGTTGCAGGGCTAGTTTGTGACAACGACCCCATATTCGATATAGGCTCTTGAACTGTCCAATGGGCCGGCGCCCTCCAGCGGGCTTTAGGTACTGCGCCGTCAGCATTTCTTGCTCGTCCGTGGGGAAGTCGCCTGCCTCCGTGGAGATGTTCAGCAGCCTTGTCAGCGGCCTGACGTCACTGAGCCATCCCAGGTGGCGTGGATGTATGCCTCCAGGCTTGCAGGTCTTGGCTTTGAAAGACCTGCATGTCTTTCTGACCTGCTCTGGCTCGAGGAGGTGCTGCCGATGTTGATGGCCACCTTGCTGGATGGCCGCGGTGATCGCCTTGTGCGGGGCATGAATAACTTGATCTGGCTGATCAGGGGGACGAACGTTCCATACTCGCGCCCACTCTTTCTGGTACTTATTGAGCAACGCCACTGGGCATGCCGAGCGGTCCTGGATGCGCTCCACGGTGCCGTCTACCACCTCGGCTGCCCCTTCCCCTGGGTCTTTCGTCCACTTGTGGAGCATGGGCGCCCCACGCAGGTGGTCCTCGGCCAGCACTTCGCGCCAGCCCTTGACCTGCCGGCCATGCACCCTTCCGCTGAGCACATCTTTGCCCACACGCTCCGCCATCTTCGCGATGAGCTCGATCTCGCCAAGGACCGAGTTGGTGGTGCGCGCTGTAGGTCTTGGCGGTGGTGGTGAAGCGGGAGGCGTCGGCGAAGCCCTTGCCGCACTCGCCTCGCTCCGAACGTCATCCACCTGATGGAGTGCACTCGGGACTGCGGCGTCCCCAGCCTGCCCGCAAGGGCTAGCTGGTTCTCCCACATTCCCAGCTGCATTCAATAGTCGCTGGTGCTCCTGCACGGCGAGCTGCCGCGGGTCCATCTCGTCATCTAGCTCTGTGAACGGGTCCGCCTCTGGGTCGTTCAGGCCTCTGGTTCTCGGCAGGTCCAGAGGCTGCGCAAGGTCGGTACCGAGGTGGGCGCTCTGGGCGACACCGTATTCCATGGTATTCCACAGGCACGTACTCGTTGCTGTTGTAGTTGCCGAAGTCGCCCTTCGTGTGGCCTGGGTGGTGTGACTTCGAGGGGCTGAATCCCTCCCCACCCAGGCCAGACCGACCCTGGTCGTAGTAGCACTCGTCAGGTGGGCGTCTGCCCCCTGGGCCTGGCTGTTGAACGGCTCGAGCGACGGTCTCGGGGTTCGCCACTGTCCCGCTGGTCAACTCACCGACTTGGTCCAAGACGGCCTGCACAATTTGGTACCAGTCATCGTAGTCGCCAAAGGTGTGGTACGCCTCGCCGAACTTGCCTGAGCGCTGCATCCCTTCACGGCAGCGTGCGATGGCACCTCGGAGGCGTTGAGCTGGGCAGCCTCGCTGATCATCGCTACCCAGGTGGGACTGGCGCTCAAGGTAGATGTGCAGGAGGCCTCGAACTTGGCGCAGCCGCCCAGAAAGCCACGTGAGTGCACGGCCTGGTGTGGTCTTGCCGTTGGCCTTGGTGGTCCATATTTCGGGCAGGGTGACCTCTTTGAACTGGATGGGCCCCCCCCCGAGCTGCATGGCCTTGGCGTCGCGGTCCACGATGCCCTGGAAGTCTTGGCGCGCCGTGCCGAGCCACACCTCGTGGGCCCTGTCGACCAGCGCCTGGCGGTCGGCCGGCGTCAGCTCCTGCTGGCCGTCGTGACCAACAAGCTGCTGGTAGGTCTCGTCGAGCACACGCTGCGCCGCCGTCCAGAGGAACGGGAGGAGGGAGGAGGGAGGATGGAGGGAAGGCGGGCGGGCGGGCGGGCGGGCGAAACAGGGAGGCAAGGAGGCAGGGAGGCAGGGAGGCAGGAAGGCAGGGGAGGGGAGGCGAGGGGAGGGGGGCGAGGAGTGGGGAGGGGAGGGGAAGGGATGGGAAGGGGAGGCGAAGGAGGAGTATGAGTATGAGTATGACCATAAGACGAAGTCTTGAAGGAGGCGGAGGAGGAGCAGGAGGCGGAGGAGGAGGAGGAAAAGGAGGAGGAGGAGCAGGGGGAGGAGGAGGAGGGGGATAGGGGAGGGGGGGGAGGAGGAGGAGGAGGAGGAGGAGGAGGAGGAGGAGGAGGAGGAGGAGGAGGAGGAGGAGGAGGCGGAGGCGGAGGCGGAGGCGGAGCGGAGGTGGGAGGAGGTGGAGGAGGAGGAGGAGGAGGAGGAGGAGGAGGAGGAGGAGGAGGGGAGGAGGGAGGGGGAGGGGGATGGGGAAGACGGAGGAGGAGGAGGGAGGAGGAGGAGGAGGAGGAGGAGGAGGAGGGAGGAGGAGGGAGGAGGGAGGAGGGAGGAGGGAGGAGGTGGGAGGAGGGAGGATGAGGAGGAGGAGGAGGAGGAGGAGGCGGGAGGAGGAGGACGAGAAGGGGGAGGAGGAGGAGGAGGAGGAGGAGGAGGAGGAGGAGGAGGAGGAGGAGGGAGGAGGTGGGAGGAGGAAGAGGACGAAGGGGAGACCGTATACTAATGTATTACGAATAATATTAATATGACTAATACTAATAATTCGAATCATAATAATCATCATCCGAAGTCGGCGAACATTAATACTGAACATACGACGCATGCGAATACTCGTACTAAGAACACTAGGGATGCGACTAACAATACGGATCATCACACCGCTGATAATACATACAGACTAAGGCTACGAGTAATACTAATAGTATTAAGAAGACTAAGAAGAAGTAGACGACTCTTACGAATGCTACGGCTAACCATAATGGCATTAATACTGTTAATACTACGAATCAGATTAGGAATAGCAAACCGAATGCTATTATTAATGATACGAATACAAAACAATAATACTGATACGAAGGCGAATGCCAATACTACCAAAACTGATGGAACAAGTACCACTAACACTAATCATAATAGGGGTACTACGACGAGTCCGATCGCTGATGCTAATACTGTTAAACATATTATGAATACTACGACGAACAATACTAGTCGTACGAATAAGAAATACTAAGAATGCGAATCATATGAATCATAATAAGACGACGAATGGTATTCCGAAGGCTAACAAGAGGAGGGGGAGGAGGATGAGGAGGATGGGAAGGAGGAGGATGAGGAGGATGAGGAGGAAGAGGAGGAGGAGGAAACGGAGGCGGAGGAGGCGGAGGCGGAGGCGGATGAGGAGGAGGAGGATGAGGAGGAAGGGGCGGCGGAGGCGGAGGCAGAGGCGGGGGCGGAAGGATCCGGGGGCGGGGACGGGGAGAAGGAGGGGAAGGGGGCGGGCGAGGGCGAGGGCGAGGGGGAGGAGGGGGGAGGCGGAGGAGGAGGAGGAGGCGGAGGAGAAGGAGGAGGAGGAGGCGGCGGAGGAGGACGAGGAAGAGGAGGAGGAGGAGAAGGATGAGGAAGAGGAGGAGGAGGAGGGGGAGGCGGAGGAGGGGGGGCAGGGGAAGGTCAGGGGAGAGGCGGGGGGAGGGGGGAGGGGGCGTGGGAGGGGGGTGAGGCGGAGGCGGGCGGACGCGGAAGGGGAGGGGGGTATGGGGGAGGGGGGAGGAGGGGGGGGAGGGGGATGGGGAGGGGGGGGGAGTTGGGAGGAGGAGGAGGAGGAGGAGGAGCGGAGGAGGAGGAGGAGGAGGAGGAGGAGGAGGAGGAGGGGGAGGAGGGGGAGGAGGGGGAGGAGGGAGGAGGAGGAGGAGGGAGGAGGAAGAGGAGGAGGAGGAGGAGGTGGACGATGAGGAGGAGGAGGAGGAGGAGGAGGAGGAATATGAGGAGGAGGAGGAAGAGGAGGAGGGGGAGGAGGAAAGGGATTTGGTTAGGTTAGGCACGCCACTAGACCCGCCACCTCATGCAGGCACAGAAGCCCCTGCACAACATGTCGAGCCCGTGGAATCTCCAAGGGGGAGGACGAGGATCAGGAGGAGGGGGCGGAGGAGGAGGAGTAGAAGACGGAGGAGGAGGAGGAGGAGGAAGCGGGGGAGGGGGAGGAGTTGGAGGAAGGGGGGAGGGGGAGTGGTCGGAGGAGGACGCGGAGGACCAACGTCTCCTGGCCCCTCCGCATCCGCAGGATCTCGCTCGCGTGTGCGCCACCAGCGCAGCCGTCGCGGCTGCGGTGGCCCTCGACGAAACTTCCATATGGAGGCGCGTTGAGGGATGCTCTGCAGATGAGAGTGGGTGGGATGAGAACGAAAGGGGACGGGTGAGACAGCGAAGGATCAGGAGGGAAGTTGATGGTCATGTTGATGCTACAGATGATGGCGACGCTGATGGCGGCGGTGGCGTCGATGATGTTGTTGGTGGCGGCGGCGGTGGCGACGACGCAGACGACGGCGAAGATGGTGGTGGTGATGATGATGATTACGATGACTTCGGTGATGGCAATGCTGATGCCGATGATGGAGCTGATGATGATGATGATGATGATGCTGATGATGCTGCGGATCATGATGAGGGTGATGCGGATGCTGCTGATGATGGCGATGACGATGATGGTGGTGATGATCGTCACGAGGATTCTGAAGATGGTGATGATGGTGCTGCTGCTGATGATGATGATGATGATGATGATGATGATGATGCGGATGATGCTGGTGCTAATGCTGATGAGGATGGTGACGACATGACGACGACGATTGTGATGATGACGGTGATGAATATGATGATGATGTTGAAGCTGCTGTTGATGATGATCATGATGCCGATGATGATGATGATGACGCTGATGATGATGATGATGATGATGCTGATGATGATAATGCTGCTGATGATGATGATGCTGATGATGCTGATGATGATGATGGTAATGATTATCGTTGATTATAGAGGTGATGATCAGAAGGGTCGTGATGAATATGATGATGATGATGATGATGATGATGCTGATGATGATGATGATGATGATGAAGAAGCTGCTGTTGATGATGATCATGATGCTGATGATGATGATGATGATGATTATTGTGATGATGACGATGATGATGATGATGGTGGTGGAGATGATGGTGACGACGATGACGATGGCGATGTTGATGGTGGTGGCAGTGGCGACGACGACGATGATGCTTGATGGTGATGTTGATTACGATGGTTTCTGATGTTGACGATGCTTATGGTGATTATGATGATGACGATGATGATGATGATGATGATGATGACGATGATGGTAAGGATTGCGGAGGTAGTGACGGTGAGTCTGATGATGCTGTTGCGCGTGTGGGTGGCGGTGGTCATGATGATGATGATAATGATGATGCCGACGACGATAAGGATGATGATGATGTTGTCAGTGGCGGTGGTTGTGAAGATGCGGATGGTGTTGTTGATGCTGCTGATGATGATGACGACGATGATAATGCTGATGGTGTTGTTGCCGTTGTTGTTGAACTTTCATCTCCAAATCAGTACTCCTGTTGGACACCCTAAAGGTGCCCTGGAGCATTCGCCTCGGCGCCTGCTGCATTTTTGTGAAGCTTAGGCCTTAGACTCTCTCAAGCGTTTCGGGGTTCCGCCGGAGCCGGCTCCCCCAACATCAACAACAGCAACAGCAACAGCACCAACAACACCAACAACAACATTTATTTTAAGATTGTTCGCTCTTACTGGCACGCGTGTCTTGCATTCCGTACACCTCAACCCTCGATACCCGCCCATTTCGTTTTCGATTGCACCCCCTTTCAAAGGGGAACCTCTTCCTTGTCGGCCACTGACTAGAGTGCGAGGAAATCGCGAGCGAGAGCGCCGTTCCTGAGTTCGGGGGCCTCTCTGGCCGGGGGCTCTCGGAATACTTGCGGAGAAATATCGACCGGGAACCCTTGTCCCTGTGTCAGGGCCTCCACTGCCTTGCCTGAATTAAGAGAAAGTCTCGAGCGAGAGCGCCGTTCATGAGTTCGGGTGCATTCTTGGCCAGGGGCTCTCGAAGTAAATCGTGAGAAAGTATCGAGCAGGAGCCCTTGTTCAAACGAAGGCCGGAGAAACTAGCAAAATCTGAATACACCTTCAAAACAACAGGTGCTTCGCGCCAAAACTTGCGAAGGACGACCGCGTCATCGTCCGCGTAGGCGCGCGCGGTGGACTCCGGAGATTGCCGTTGGATGCGATGCAGCAGCATGTCTGTAGCGAGCACAAACAACAACGGTGACATGTCTGTAGCGAGCATGTCTGTAGCGGCCTTCGTTTGAACATGGCAAAAACGGTTGTCATTCCACTGTGGGAGACCACCGTGCATCAGTTCCGCCGCGCTTTGCGGGACATGATGCCTCAGTGGTCCAGCGCAGAGGTCGCGATGCATGCTGCTTACCTTGAGTTTCAAGTTGGACCTCGCCGCTGCACGTCGGAGTGGGTTCAAGCAACCACGAAATATGTCAAGCGGTCCCGTCTCTGGTCGGAGCTAGGGCTCGGGCTGCAGCTCAACGCGCGCGTATACAACGCGTTCGCGGCGCCAATGCTTTCCTACATAAGTCAATTGTGCGATCCTCCCCCAGAGGTGCTGGCAGCGGAGGCTTCTGCACTCTCCCAGCTCACCTCGGGTCCAGGCGGTTGGAGGACCGCCGCAGACTTGTATAGCTTGAAATCATTGCTGTCGTTCCCAATCGAATTCAGGAGCGTTTCCGATTACGCGTGGGCCGCGAAGCTCCGGGTAGGCAAAACTGTGCTGCAAGATCACGGGTCCATGCGTCAGGATCTGGCCCTGGCGAGGTGGGAATGACCGTACAAAGATCGTGTTGCTAATTGGTCTGCTTGGTACGACTCCAACTTTGCCTGCGTTGTCGCTGCGGCAGTCGGCTGGGCGAACGCCATAGGAATTCGTGCACTTGACGATCAGCGGGCGCTCTACGAAGAAATCCGCGCACACCCTACCATATCTTTGCGGATTGAGCCCCGCTTCCGCAGCAAATTAAGCAGGTGGGCTCTCCCCTGTCCGATTGGCCGGCTCGCGCGCCGGGCGCCGATTGTGTTTCAAAGATTAAGCCGGCTGGCGCCGCCACGTGTAGTTGCAGCTGTCTGGAGCGCGCAATGGAACGGATGGTGCACCGCGCGCCGTTTCCAGCAAATGGGGCAGTGTTGCTTTGGATGCTCCCGGCTTGCGCAGGACAGCATCGAACATTATGCGGTCTGCAAGTTTGTTGCAAATCTGAAGTGCCCATTCTTCGGCCTCAGTAGCGTCAGCTTGGAGAGCTTTTTGTGCCTTGATTCTGCCGGGGACGAGGCGCTCACCCTTTCGGCGCTTGCAACCTAGGCCGTGTTCAGTGCGTCCAACCAGTTTCGAGGGGCCCCTCCTCCTCAAGAAACGGTCGTTCGTGACGCCCTTGAGCATTTTTGCAAAGCCGGTGCAGCGGGGCACAGATCCGCCGTGCAGATGTTTGATGCACGCTGGGCCCGATAAGTTATGCTCCGGTGCCCCCTTGTCTTCTTCTCTCCCCCTCCTTCCTCCTCCTGTCCCTCTTTCCTCACAGGTGGAGCCGATACGTTTCAAGGAGATTTCGTATCACAGCGGACAGCGGACTGTCTCACTTCAGGCGTACGTCGAATATTTGCCTTGCGGGAAAAAAATCGAGCAGAAGCCCTTGTCGTCGTGGCTAGGCCTCCGCCAACTTGATTGAATTGCGAGGAAGTCTCGAGCGAGAGCGCCGTTCCTGAGCGTGGGGGCCTCTCTGGCCAGGGCATCTCGGGGTAAATTGTGAGGAAGTATCGAGCGAGAGCCGTTGTTGTCGTAGCTGGGCCTCCCAGGGCCCACATGTAGGCTCAAGCCAACGCTCGAGCGGGAGCCTCGCTTTTAGAATGCAGCCGTCGTCGAGGCGAGAGCGCGCGGAACCGTTTCCGGAGATACGCAATAATTATTCTTCAGATGCGAGTATTTCAGACTTGAGTCTTCAACAACAACAACAGCAATCATTTTAAGACTGTTCGCCCTTATCTGCTCGAGTGTCCAATAACGCGTATTTCCCAAACACTCGATACCCGCCCTCTTCGTCTTCGATCGAACCCCTTTTGGGGCGTATACTTTTCTTCCCTGCAGGCCGGGCCCTGGCAAGCGGCGGGGCGGCCGCGGACCGTGGGCCTGGCCAGCGGCAGCGCTGATCGGCGGGGCGGCCGCGGACCGTCCGTCGACCCGACCCCAAAAGGGACGGACAGGGGAAGAGGGAACCGACCACGACGACGACGACGACGACGACGACGACGACGACGACGACAACGACGACGACGACGACGACGACGACGGCGGCGGCACGGCGTCGACGACGACGACGACGACGACGACGACGGCGACGGCGACGACGACGACGACGACGACGAGCGAAAGCGAGAGCGAAAGAGAACGTCAGCAGGGCCACGAAGGACACGAAGTAGGCCACGAAGGGCGACAGCGGGGACACGAAGGGAATGCGTATGTATGGGGCCACGGAGAGCGCGAACGAGCGGGGGCCACGAAGGGCTGATAATGCGGGGCCGCAGAAGACAACAATGGGGCCAATGAGGGTAGCAAATTTAGGATAGCGAGGGGGCCACAAACGGCGACAGCGGGGCCACGAAGGGCATGCACATGGGGCCACAACGGGCGCGAACGAGCGGGGGCGACGAAAGGCATGCGTACGTTGGGCCGCGGAGGGCAAAGACGGGGCCACTCAGGGCAGCAACGGGGCCACGAAGGGCAGCGAGGGGGCCACGAAGGGCGGCAGCGGAACCACGAAGGGCATGCATATGGGGCCACCACGGGCGCGAACGAGCGGGGGCCACGAATGGCATGCATATATAGGATATAGGGCCACGAAGGGCAGCGGGGGGGCCACGGAGGGCAGCGACGGGGCCACGAAGGGGAGCGAGGGGTCCACGAAAGGCTGCAACGGGGCCACGAAGGGCTGCAACGGGGCCACGGAGGGGAGCGACGGGGCCACGAAGGATTGCAACGGGGCCACGAAACAAACCGAAGGAGCCACGAAGGGCTGCAACGAGGGCCGCGAAGGGCAGCGAGGAGGCCACGATGGGGCTGCAGCGGGGACACGAAACAAAGGGAGGGTGCCACGAAGGGCTGCAACGGGGCCACGAAACAAGGCGAGGGGGCCACGAAGGGCTGCAACGGGGCCAGGAAGGGCAGCGAGATCCCGATTCTTAGGTATTCTGTGCGGGAGTCCCAAGCGTGAACG